AAAGTTTACCCATCATGGAGTGAAAGTTTATCATTTGCATGTGTTTTTAAGTCCTGTCAGTTTAAACATCAAGCGCAAGAACAAGACTGTAACTCGCGTGCTGTTTTGTGCGTCCACACAGAGCCACGCAGACAGCACGTGAACCAATGCAGGCCCCTTTCTCTTCTTTTGAGCTTGAACCACGGCTTGAACAGACACGTGCACGCACAATTAATTCATAAGGCCTGTCTTGGCAAGTATCCTCATAAACACAGTCGGTTATGTGCTGTAAACAATTGAGAAAGAAATCGGATGCGTATCAGTGGATTTGTGCATTTGTCTTAAAATGATAGCAGCCTAATTTACCAACAGTACCACCAATGGTACCACCAATGTTAATCAAACAACAAAAGAGAAAGAGAAAATCATTAGCTTTAACACAGATAAATTGTATTAATTACATGAATTATATTTACTTTATACAGTGAAGAAGACTATAGTCTTATTTTACATTTAAATATTCATTGTCTGTACCTGTCCAGGTGCTCCCTTGAGAACCAGACCAAAAAAGTTATTTGCACCCCTGGTTATATGTTTGTGCGGAGCATTTTGTTTTGTAAACGAGGCACAGTGTAATGGTAAAGTGTAATGTAAAGAATTTTTTGTTGAAAAATGAAGCAGCCCAACTGTATTGGATCTGACAGCAGCTGCATCACAAACCGCAAGTAAACGATTTCATAATGTTTTGTCTGTAAATGATGTTTAATATGGGTAGTGTTTTCAAAACACTTACGTGCAAAGTGTGGGTACTGTTGATACTGTTTCCTATGCAATGACGTAAGCCAATCATAACACTGGCCGTTTACTGACAAGCCGTAAAGGAGCCGTCCATTGATATAGGATCATTTCAGACAAAGGGGCAGAATGAAGGTTGAAAATAATCGTTTTTCCGCATATACAACCCGATCACACTAAATGAGTTTTTACGTACATAGGATACGCATGTGTTGGTTAGGATACGCATGGGTTGGTTAGGATACGCATGGGTTGGTTAGGATACGCATGGGTAGGTTTAGTAGTGGTGTGGGGTGCGTGTGTGTATTTTACGTTTGGGTAGAATTAGTGGTGTGGGGTGCTTGTGTATTACACGCAAATGAACTGCGTATCAAATGCACGCGGAAACTGCGTATCATATGCACGTAAAAATTGTAAATTGCATGATAATACACAATGCGTGCTATAGAAACGCATTTACGTGAGAACAGGCTGGCATATATATGTATTTTTTTGTGTGCAAACCATCATAAGTGAAACTTGAGGAACATATTAAAATAATAATAAAAAAAGAAATTTCATGTCATGGTCCCTTTTAATATATCTTTGGGGTTGTGTTGGAATATGGTGGTCACTGATTTTATATGTGCTCAGGTTTCTTCAGCCAGTACAGAAGATAGATATGAATCTGACAGATTTGCTGGGAGAGCTGCAGAGAGACCCCTGGCCCGTCACTCAAGGCAAACGACCACTGAGATCACTCGGAGTGGCCCTTTCCATTGCTGTCGGTCTGTTAGAGGTGACTGTCAGGATTTATGTTATTATCTTTAATGGTTTGCTGTGCTGGCAGCTTTGCTACCAGCTGCAGTTACACAATTATAAGTTTACACTTCCGGTTTGGACACACCTTCTCATTCTTTATTATTACTATTTTCCACACTTGTGATTAGAGCTGTATGATAAATCGGTAAAAGATCGTTTCAAATTCCCACACTATTATGCAGTATCGATTCAAATCCCCACACTATTTTTATTCCTAAATAAAAATGATTTAACTATGTCTATTAAACCTTTGACCAATATGATCCCAGTGGAGCATTCAAATCTGCGTTGGTGTTTCAGCTGAGCCAGAGAAAGCAGTTGTCATGTATAAGTGTAAAACCACACAGTATCATTATTTATGTTACAATAATTCAAATGATCACAAAAGTAAAGGTATACATTTTATAGTTCAGATATAAACACTAATGTCTATGGTAGTGATCAAAATGGAGGAAATCACCTTTTGAAAGTAACTTCACACTTCAAATAAATATTGTATCAGTTACATCATTACACAGTAGGTGGTGACAAGTGACTGTTAAAAAAAAGTATTTGTTATTAAATCATTCATTAAAGAGATTGGTTTAAAAACACTAATTCATCCAGTAATGAAACTTTGAGTCTTTATGAGTGAGTCAATGAATCATTCATTCAAACCGAATGTTTTTTAAATAGACTGCAGCAATTCACATTTTGTCAGAACCTCTAGTAAATGAAATGTTATTTTATATAATGAAATAACACAAACAGAAGTATGGGAATGATGTCATATAGCTTCTTCAAGCTCAACATCATAAGGGGCATCCTGGGATGCTTGTTAAACAGTATTTAAGAAATTACTATGTGTGCCGAGTAGTTGCTGACTGCTTTTTTATTCACTATTCTGCTCATAAATGCATATTTTGTAATGAAAATGTAGTTTTCTAAAAACTTCATGTACACACAACTTATATCTGTAATATTTATATTTGCATTAAGCCTTTATCTCAAAAGGTGATCATGAAAGGCATAAATTCATTAGTTTTCAAACACTGAATTGGTCGTCTTACTCTAGCTTTGTGCTTGTTTATTGTTTCCCTCCATTTACTTCCCTCCTGTAGTGCACTTACCCTAACACTGGCGCTCGCATCATGGCTTTCATCGGTGGACCCTCCACTCAGGGTCCAGGCATGGTGGTAGGAGATGAACTGAAAACACCTATTAGATCCTGGCACGACATCGAGAAAGACAATGCCAAGTTCATGAAGAAAGGCACTAAAGTGAGTTTTCCCGTATTTGTTGTTTGTTTTATTGGCTTGGTAGAAGTACCCACATATGCTTTCATGAAGGTGAAGTATCTTCAAGCGGCTGTACTGTTGACTGATGGGTTTTAAAAATTGTCTGTCACAGAGGTGCATTGGAAGGTTTACAATCAAACTGATGCCTGCATTCTTAACTATTTGAAATCTCAGAGCAGCAGAACACTGTAATATCAGAGTTATTGTCTGGAAAAACCTGCATATTTTTTCTTGCATATGATATGTGTGAAAACTGGCAATTAGCTGGTCTTAAAAACTGATGCTCATAATTCTTACATTTATGCATTTGGTACACACTTACTGTACATTGTAAGGTAGACATTTTGACCCAAGTTCTTGCTTTCCATGACCTTGGCGTATATAATGCCATGCTCCACTAATTTGGGAAAGCCTTGTAGCCTAAACAGTTTGAAGTTTTTGCAGGCATTTAAAATGGTATTTTTCCCTTGTAGCACTATGAAGCCTTGGCCAACCGTGCCGCCGCCAATGGACACATCGTTGATATTTATGCATGCGCTCTGGATCAGACAGGATTACTGGAAATGAAGTGCTGCACCAACTATACAGGGTAAGTAACTCAAAAAAAGGTTTTCAATTTTGTTTTTAAATGGTTTCAGCATACTGATAGAGTATGCTTGGAGATTTGAGTCGACGTTGGTGCATATTAAAACATGTTTAGAGTCAAGAAAACAAATCTAGACATATTCCCATCCCCAAGATTTTAAGTATGAGCGAATTTGTGAAACTCTCTTCCTTCGCCATTATGTCATTGTACTGACTGTATACTTGTATTCTTGAAGACAATCCAAATACATACTATGTACCTTTCTGCTTTTCTGTAAATGCAGGGGTTATATGGTCATGGCGGACTCTTTCAATACATCTCTGTTCAAGCAAACTTTCCAGAGAGTTTTCACTAAAGATGTCCAGGGTGCCTTTAAGATGGCACTTGCAGGGACTCTGGAGATTAAGGTGGCTTGCTTTTCTTTTTTTTCTTTTTCTTCTTACAATTTAAAAAAAAAAGTTGTTCTAATTGGCTTGTCTTGGCTATTTTAATTACTTTATTATTTAATTGTGCTACATGTGGCTTTCCTTTTAATATTATTACACTATTATTTCAGACTTCAAGAGAGATAAAGATTTCTGGGGCAATCGGCCCGTGTGTCTCCCTGAACGCCAAAGGTCCCTGTGTGTCAGAAAACGTAAGTAGCTCATCTATTTTAAATTAAATAGACTCGCTATACAGTGTTTTCTCTTAGGTTCAGCTTTATCTCTGGCAATGCAGAGAGCATACTGACATTCTTTGACCTTTGCTTGTAGGAAATAGGAACTGGCGGCACAAGTCAGTGGAAAATTTGTGGACTGGACCCAAATACCACTCTTGCATTCTACTTTGAGGTTGTGAATCAGGTACATGCCAGTAAACTTTGTTTGATCTGCTTACAATAACCCTTGATATGCATGTTTACAAGTTAACATTGCCACAGATGGTTTTGGAAAACCATCACAGAAAAATAATTGTCTCTCAGTTTGCAAAATCACTTACTACCATGAGCCGGAGTCAGGTAAGATATGTTCCTGGATCAACATATCCTGAAGATTTAGTCCTAACCCTACCTGACTTATCGCTAAAATAAGAGGGACATGGTTGGTGAATAGCACTGATGTAGAAGCTAACCCTATTTTTAAGCTTAAACTTGACACAAACTTTTAGCTTGTCCCTCAAATCTGATTGGTTGATTTGGAATGTTGATCCTGGATCAACAACAATGTTGATCCAGGAACATGTTGTACTTAGTGAAATCACCAGTCACAGATACTGTTGTTGCTGCAGTCTGACACATTTCAGGTTCATGTAAATTTCCACCTTATATGCAGGGGGTCCACTAGAGGGCAAACTTTCATCATACATGGGATGGTTTTTTTTTTTTTTTACTGCATTTTAATTTAAAGCATTACTTCACTGCAGTAGTTTTTAACCTTTTTATAGCTTTTAGTGATTCACATAAATTATTCCAAATGTAGCAAAATATATTGAGGAATATGACATGACATTTTTACAGAGAATCATTTTGCACAAGTTAGTCTCATTTTCAGTTATTTTTATATTGTAAATCTACGGATAATGCATGGTCTTAATGCTTGCCATCATACATTTCACAGTAACTGTAATGTGAGTATTCGGTTTTGAATTTGCTCTGAGCTTATATATTAAGAAAACTATATTTACATAGCCAATGATATACATAAGATCAGATTGTGCCATCAAAATTATACAAGTTGCTATTGAAGTCAGTCAAGTTTCAAGTCTCTGAAAGCTATTGAACTTTGATTGGCAGTTTCAGGTGTCTGCTGAACATTTTAGAGAGAGCTTTTTTCACAATCACATTGCATTGTCCTTTGAGCATTCCTTTAGAAAAAAAGTGAATCAATGTTTCTGCTCAAGTCACAAAAAACACAATACATCTTTTTGATGCAAAAGTCTTGTAGACTATCGTACAAGGTTCCTTCTGTCTGCATGAAGTCTGCTTGCATCATAAATTGCTTCTGGTGAGCTCCGCCAACCCAGTGTCCTCTTCTGCTGTGGTGAAACGATGCTGTAGATTCCTTAAGTCATAATTATTTCTACACTATTCCATTCAGCAAAGGTCAGGAAGGGTCGTGCTCAAACCAGCGTGAGGTCCTGTTGGGGTTGGTTGTTTGTTTGTAGTGCCGGAGGATCACTGGGAGCTGGCGAAGAGAAGCTGTTGCTCTTGTGGCGGGGCTGTATGGTTGTGCACTGGGAGAGAGAGTTTTTACGAGGATAGTCAAACATCTGTCGGATTTTATTCAGGCTTTTGCGCAACGCAACTCTGTATCTCCTGAAAGATACAAACAAGGTCACGGTAAACCTCCCACATACTCTCATGCTCTTAGAATATAAATAACAACCACAAATCAGTACCATGAATCATAGCTCTATACAAGTTCCCTTTCTAAATGTTGCCCGAATTGGCCATCGAGTTTTTCATCGGCAGGTTTTTACCTCCACCTTCCTTTTACAATCCTGCACCACATTCAGTTCCTGCCACATTTTATTTACGAAACATTATTGAATGTGGCAGGTATTAATATGAGCTGCCACATCTGATAGTTAAAAGGCCAGAAAAGTCTTAATCAACAATAAAAAGGTAATGTCTATCCATGATTACACTTCCCAAAATAGAGAGCTTATTTTCTGGGAGAATTTGTTTTATGGATCTTCCTGTCTGTCTTCTATCTATCATGACATTTAGGGGTGGGCTGAATGAACAAAATCTTATACTTGCAGTATTAGTAATGATATAGTGAATATCACAATATAGTTGTTTCCCTTTGAAATTCAACCATAAAATAGTTTATATATTAATATTTAAATGCATATTGAATAGTCCACTGAATTAAATTAAATGTTTTACAAATGAAAGTTAGATTATGTTCAAATGTTTGGGGTCTGTAAGATGTTTTTTTAATTTTATTTATATATGTATTTGGTCAAAAAATACAATACAACAGTAATATTGTAAAGTATTACAATTTTAAATATTTTAAAATTATATTCTAAAATGTAACTTATTCCTGTGATGCAAAGCTGAATTTTCAGCATCATTACTCCAGTCTTCAGTGTCACATGATCCTTCAGAAATCATTCTAATATGATGATTTGCTGCTCAAGAAACATTTCTTATTATTAACTATGCTGGAAACAGTTGTGGAAATCGTGATACATTTATTATTTAAAAATTGAAAGTTCAAAAGTACAGCATTTATTTGAAATTGAATTTTGGTAACAATGTGAAAATTTTGCTTTCAGTCAATTTATTGCATCCTTGCTGACTTAAAGTATTAATTACTTTATTTTTTTCACTGTACTGACCCTAAACTTTTGAACAATATTGTACTTTATTTAATTTCCTCCTGACTGCTCTCCTCACTATCTTTTCTCTCGAACATGGTAGATGATAATTATGATGGTTTTTAATTTTATTAACATTGACACCGACAACAGCAGGAATATTAGGCTGCTGTCACTTTAAAACCGAATGCATGGACCGAATACACTGATACACATCCGGTTTCTTTCTCAACTGTTCACTTATCACTAATACTTGTCGAGACGGGTATTTTAACGATTTATTTTGGGGCATTTTTGCCTTTTATTGGGATAGGACAGTAGCTACACAGAAGTGAGGTGGGACGGGAACAGGAAAGGTCCACGAGCCGGGACTCGAACTCGGGTCGCCGAAGCACAACGGTGCTACATGTCGGCGCACTTGCCTACGAGGCTATTGGCGCCGACACGAGACGGGCATTTTGACATAATTTTGTGTATGTGTCCATTCAAGCGCAGGTAAACACGATAGAGGAATCAGTTCGGTGTTCGAGCTCTGTCTGAAACGCGCATCTCTTTCTCTCTCTTTCACCTCTTCTTTCTCGTTTAAAATCGTTTGAATTTGCAAATTGGCCAGACAAAACGTGTCCAAATGATAAACTTTCACACTATGATGGTTAAACTTAGCAGTTAATCCACGAATCACATGCGTTCCGAACCGTGGGGCCTGATCCGTACAGATCGTGGATCGACTCCAATCCGTTGCAACCCTAATAATTAATGAAAACATTTGATTTCATGATTTCATGATTGCTATCTTACCAGAGATGGAGAAAAATCCTACTCCAGTGAGTAAATGTGTCGCTGTCCCCAAAAATGGCAAAAATGTTGGTACTCAAAAGCGCTTCCCTGCTCGTTTTCTGCTGCGTATCGTATATTTTTTCCATGCATGCGCACCAGTTATGTGCACCACTGAATATAGCAGTGAATTACAGTATAAACGGTATTGCAAAATCTGTACTGGTTGACAAGTGTTTCTGTCGTCGGACTGAATATATCGTCATACTGCCCAGCCCTATATGCATTGTAAGAAAAATACTTGCCATTGGACACTAATTCCACATAATATACAGTCATCAAAATGATGCACTTAGTTGCTTACATTTGAGACATGGAGTAGATCCATGGGTTGAGAGCTGAAGTGAAGAGGACAAGCCATGTGGCAACAGCCGAGGCAGGCTGTGGGCTCTCTTTTCCCGTCAGTGTCTCATAGAAGCAGATAACAATGTATGGCAGCCAGCAAACAAGAAGGCACACTGTCAACAACACACACAAATCACATCATGTGGTTAAAGATTTTTTTGGACAAGCTCATTTCATTAGCTCGAGAAGAATATCGAATTGCTCTCTCTCGAGGTTGTGTTGCATGTGTGATGTATTTTGCTAATTAATTTCTCCACAATCTACCTGGACCCTTGCTGGGGGGTTTTCTCAGTAACCAAAGACATAGGAACAAACATTATACATTTTAAATAATTAGGTTGTCAATTGATTAAAATTTTTAGTTAAATTAATTTCATTGAGTCAATTAATCCACTGCAATTTATTTTGCATTCAAGCACTTGCTTTTCCTTCCTCTCCAGTCCAACTCTTCCATTAAATAAATTAAAATTTTAGGTTTGAATAGAAATTCACACGTAGACAATTTATGTTTGTCTGCAAAAAACAATTTATAACATTTCAACAGAAGTGTGTCTATATTTGCATAAAGCAGGAAACAAATCTCTATGTGCCAAGGGAAAATAAATGTACTTAACAGAATGATGTCAGAAAGATAAGCACTTAATGAACTTCCAAAACACGGTGACAAAATCAAATACAATAAAACTGCTTTATGTCCTCTTTTTTAATTATGCTTACCGATGGTTGTCGCCATTACTATGGAGCTTTTGAAGTAGTTATTGGCTGGCACATAGAAACAGTGGTCTTCGTTGCAAACAAACGTCCCTCTTCGCACCTGGTTCCTAGCTATATGCACTATATATCCATACATGGAGCACATCAGTACAATGGGAATGATTATTCCCAACACCATGAAGAGCATGTTGAAGGCGATGCTGGACGGTTTGAAGCTGGGAACGCAGAGGAACTTTGTCTCGCTGTAGACGTAACTGCCGAAACCGAAAAGTGGCAGAGCTGCGTTGAGGATGCTGTAGACCCACACTATCGCGAGGATGATTTTGGCCCTGTGCGATGTAAAGATCACCGGGTAGCTGAGGGCGAAGCAGATCTCTGTGAACTTGTCGACAGTGGCCCAGGTGAGGGAATGGATGGAGGCGAGCTGGAGCAACAAAAACAGAAAGGCGCTGCCCTTGCAGGTGGCACTCTTGCTGGGGTAGCTCTTCACTTGGAAAAGACTGTTATGGATACCAAAAGGGATGGTGGAGACGCCCAACGCCAGATCGCATAGGCTGAAGCTCAACGTGAGAACCCAGGTGTCCGTTTGCAAGTTCTGGTTGAGTGACACCACCAAAAGGAGTAGCAAGTTCCCCAAAATGGAGCAGAAGCTGGAACCAATCATCAACACTCCATAAACCACCGAAGTCCACTGCATGTTTACATGGGTGTTCAAATGCAGACATGTACAGTCAGAACATAAACACTCATTCTACGACAGAGACCACAATGGAAGCTGTGGAAAGAGGAGGTCACGTTATCAGTGCCAAACCACCAGGGAAGGTGTTGCTGTATGGGAGGAGTGTACCTCATGCTGATCTTTAGGAGTAGACGATCACTTCACCAAGCGCTGATCTCTTTGGGGAGTTTAGTCAAGCCCTCTTCCGTCTTTACTATCAGCACCTATCTCAGTCTGTTTGAAAATGGCAAACACGTTGCCTTGAGAGGCAAAACTATGTGAACAGCTACAATCACATGTAGCGAGGTAAATAAAGCATCTAACATTTAAAGAGCATGTTTCTGTGGACACAGGGCGCATGGGGAGGCTGGAGCTGCACTGCTCGGCAAACATGTCGCTTGAGATTCAATATCCTCTGTTGCCGACTTTATGAGCCATTTCATACTCAAGTGTTTTTTTTTTTAGTGTAATTGGCGAGAAGCATGACCCTAATTCGATTTAAGCCGTTATCATTAATTAAGGCTTCAGTGCCTTTACCCAGAGCTTAAGCCTTCTATTCCAGTTATATCTTTTTTGGTGGTATAGCATAAGCTATATTTGCAGTACCTTACCTGGATGTAACTGTTTAGTCAAAATTATTTCACGATTGCAGTCAGTTTATAGACATGTTGAGCATTTAAGAGCTGTGATTGAGATGCATACTAGAGCTTTTAATGGGATATTTATATTTTAGAGAAAGGATTGTTACAGAGAGAGATTTTTAGGTTGTGCTTTCTATCCTTGTTTAATGTTTAGAGACAACGACGCTTTAAAAAAAAAATATTGAAATATTATTACACTTATATAATTTATTCCTGTGATGGTAAAGCTGAATTTTCAGCATCATTACTCCAGTCTTCAGTGTCACATGATCCTTCAGAAATCATTCCAATTTGCTGATTTGCTTCTCAAGAATCATTGCTTATTATTATTATTATCAATGTTTTATGTTTTTGTGGAAACTGTATTACAAAACAAGTTTATGGGTAAGATAAAAAAAAAGATAAACTAATTGGTGCATTTGGTGAATTGGTGCATTTAATTAAAAAATTACAGTAAACATGTTTATTATGTTACGAAAGATTTATATTCAATGTTCAAATGTTTTTATTTTAACTTTCTATAAATCAAAGAATTCTTTAAAAAAAAATGTATCACGATTTCCACAAAAATATTAAGCATCAGAAACCATTTTTAACATTGATAATAATAATAAGAATCATTATTAACAATTGAGCTCCAATAATAATTGAGCAGCAAATCAGCATATTAGAATGATTTCTGAAGGATCATGTGACTGAAGAAAATTCTGCTTCAGAAATAAATTTCTTTTAAAAATATATTCAAATAAAAAACATTTATTTTAAATTGTAATATTTCACTATATTACTCTTTTTACTGTAATTTACATCAAATATTCAACATGCAAAATTCTTGCTCAACTAATTGTGACTTTGGGTAAGACGACCTATAACAAATTTGTCTAAACAATAGCATATTGGTGCCAGGATGGTGGGAAGGTTTGGGAAACCTATTTAAAAGCAATCCTTTATTTTTGTCATACTATTTGGCGGGTTCTTTGTTAAGCAAAATATTAGCTGTCTTCATTCTTTTTATTTCCCCTCCTCAGCACAACGCTCCTATCCCACAGGGTGGACGTGGAGCCATACAGTTCGTAACACAGTATCAGCATTCTAGCGGACAGAGGCGCATCAGAGTGACCACAATTGCAAGGAAGTAAGTCGTTTGTCCTTATATTAACCATCAATGATTGCTACATACATTACCATTTCAAAGTTAGGGGTTAGTAAGATTTTTTTTTTTAAGAAATGAATTATTTTTTCAGCAAAGATGCATTAAACTGTGAAAGTGATGTTAAAGACATTAATATTACAGATTATTTCTATTTCAAATAAATGCTGTTCTTTTGAAATTTCTATTCATCAAAGATGGAACTAAAAAAAATTGTAGATTGTTCATAGATTGACCCTCCTTTCAGTTTGGACATCATCTCTGCACATCATCCATGTGTTATCCTCAATGACCATGTCCAGTTTCCATGACAATGTGAAAAAGAAATCAAAATATTCCACTTTTAGAACGTTGCATCAGAATCGATGCACCCTGAAAGAGTACACTCAGTCTTCGACAAAGACTACTGCGCTTGCATGTAGCTTTCAAACGTACTAAAAAGGCTTAAAGTGCCTGAAAGAACCTTTCGGAGCTCTTTGACTATTCTGCGGCTTTTTGCATATACCTCTTGTGTGTTTTTTTTTAAATATCAGACATTGAGGATGAATCAGTGTGAGTCAGACTGATGTACAAGCTTGTGTTAGAAGGTCACTGTGCTATAACGTGTTCTCCTCATCCTCCTCTTCAGCTGGGCTGATGCTCAGACTCAGATCCAGAGCATCGCTGCATCTTTTGACCAGGAGGCGGCCGCCATCCTCATGGCCCGCCTGGCCGTCTACAGAGCCGAGACGGAGGAGGGTCCAGATGTTCTGCGCTGGCTGGACCGACAACTCATCCGCTTGGTGAGTCCCTCAGCCTTTCTTCTTTCAGATGGGACTAGCAACCTATTTCTTGGTATAATCAGTCTTTTAGTATTAGGGATGCACAGTAATTCTAATTATTTTCTTTAATTTGCAGTGCCAGAAATTTGGAGATTATCATAAAGACGATCCCAACTCATTCCGTTTCTCCGAGACTTTTTCGTTGTATCCTCAGGTACTTACCGCCCGTATAGCACTCTATGACAGCACTGAACTTAATAGCAAAGCGAAAATGAGATCTTGACTTTGTCTTTGGCAGTTTATGTTCCATCTGAGGAGGTCTCCATTTCTGCAAGTGTTCAACAACAGTCCTGATGAAAGCACCTATTATAGACACCAGTTTATGAGGCAGGATCTGACCCAATCTCTGATAATGATACAGCCCATCCTGTATGCATACTCGTTCAACGGGCCACCAGAGGTAAAATTATGTAATTTCTTTAAAATTCATAATTTCTCCCATTGAATATGTCAAATTTGCATGATTCAGGTGACCAATCAGGGACTTCATAAATAGTAGACACTATGTTCCCTTGGAGAAATTCATGCACTTGCACGCTTTTAAATTTCCCCAAATTGGTAGACATCAATATATATAAACAATATTTTTTTCTTTAGCCATGTCTATATTTAAAGTGCCCCTATTATGGTATTTTAAAGGTTCCTAATTTTGTTTAGGAGGTCACCTACAACAGGTTTACATGCATCCAAGGTCAAAAAACACTTTCATTTTCTCATAATATGCATTTAAATTCACCTCATTTCTCAAAGATTTTCAAATTATTAATTCGAAGCAGTTTGAAGAACCCCACCTTTCCGTTAGCCTACTGTGCTCTGACTGGTCAGTAGCCTACTCTGCTGTGATTGGTCAATATATAGATGATAAGGCAATATATATTCAAAACCAAATAATATATTAACTAATATATTGTATAGACTCATTACATGCAAAGTGAGATATTTCAAGCCTTTATTTGTTATAATTTTGATGGTTATGGCTTACAGCTTATGAAAACCCAAATTCAAAATTAGAATATTGTGAAAATGTTTTCATAGCTGTAAGCCATAATCATCCAAATTATAACAAATAAAGGCTTGAAATATCTCACTTTGCGTGTAATGAGTCTATAATATATTAGTTTTACCTTTTAAGTTGAATTACTGAAATAAATAACTGTCTTTCAAGTATTAATTTCTTTTCAGATAAAAAAAATATTTACTCACTCCAAACTTAGAAAGTTTGGAAGAAAGTAAAACTGGCTTAAAAAATTTGTAAAAGCGTTCTTTAAATATCAGTATTAATTCAATGAGCTTAATAAGTAAATCACATGTCATCATGAGTCATGACTCACGTTGATTCTGAAGTGCAGTGTCATGATGATTGTTCTGCACTTGATGTCCCCTGACACAAAAGATTAAAATGTGTTCTGTTTAATTAGTGGACTGAGATCTTTTGTTCTTATTTTTGTTTAAGCTCATATTATTGTTGTCTTCAAATCTTTTTGCAAAGGCATGGTACCATTTGTACCCAGGACAAATGGTACCATGCACTGGTCCTGCACGGGTCCTGTTTGGTAAACCTGCACCCGCAGTACCTAACAGAACACCCGACCTGTTATCCAACAGCAGCACTAATTTAATTCCGTACCTGACCCGACCTGAACCGTTTTGCCTACATCATGTGAGCAGCCTGCCCATACAGGCTATTTTGAACAAATGTGATAAATCGCACCATAGGATATACAGACGCTTAGAAGTCTCCATAAATTAAAAGAACATAAAGACAAATATAAGCCTTTACTGTCATGTAATATCAAGGATATTTTAGTGGATTCACTCTGCATTTAAATGCGGTTGTCTCCTGAAACTCTGCAGTATATATGTGGTGTTACGATACATTGGTCCTTTTAGCACCATGAAATTATTATTATTTTTTTTAAATTGTGAATAGATTATGTACCTAAAGCGAGCAAAGAGCTTTCCCTTTATAATGCCTGAACCTGTTAATCACTTCAGTTGCAGAGCGATTGGCTACAATGCTCAACGCTGCAAACCATGATGTAATTAGAAACCTTTGGCAGTCTTTAGACTACAGAGCTTGAAAATAAATAAGCACGGGACTGTTTGAAAGCAGCTGCCTCTCAGTGGGTACCGAACTGAGTCCAAAAAGTCTTGTCTATTGGACCCGCAGTCCGCCCTTGCCTATTGATTCCCGACCCGTAACGCAAATGGCAATGTAAATATTATTCCACCTGTTACATCAAATATTAGCGGTTCACCCGTCTGACCCAGGAGCCTGAAGGTTGCATGGATTTGAACACAATTATTGTGAGGTAGAAAGCAAGCAAGCAGGCAAGTGTTGTATAAATGGGTTGTTTAAACTCTGATGGTCTGTAGTGCTTGTTCTTTAGTAGTACTGAGTGAGTTAAACAACATCAGGGTGATGATACATGGGTAACTCAAACTGACGCGTGTTTTCTAATCTGCTTTTAATGGAGGGCTTTATGTCACTAACTGTTTTTCCCCTGACACAGCGAACAGAAGGGGGGAAGTTTCAGGAAAGAGGTTTATCAAAGCATCTAATTGACAATGACAGTCCAATAACAGGCTTTGTTTCCTGTTGTTGTAGCCCGTGTTGCTGGACAGCAGTAGTATCTTGCCTGACCGCATCCTCCTCATGGACACCTTCTTCCAGATTCTGATTTACCACGGAGAGGTACGGTGTAAAAAGGGTTCACTTTGGACATTCTACTATCTAGAAGTAACTTTGCAACTACATGTTAACTAACCTTCATTAGAGTATTTATAGACTGTTAGGTTAGTTTGTAGAATAACCAAATAAGATGTTACTGTAAATCACAGGGCATTTTGCCTTCCAATTGCACTGTGGTGTATTTTCCCCTGTGACTGGGTAGATGTTGGTTTAACGCCAAGTCTTTTTCAT